TTTTTTTTTTGCTGGTACTAGGGTTTGAACTAAGCTCCTTGCACTTGCTAGGCAGGCACTCTACCACTTGAGCCACTCCACCAGCCCTTTTCGCCTTAGGTATTTTTCGAATACGGTCTCACATTTATGCCCCAGGCACGCCTGGACTGCATCTTCCAGAACTCCACCTCCTGAGTAGCCAGGATTACAGGCATGAACCACTGTGGCCAGTCCATCTTAACCATTTTTAAAATGTTCAGTGGTATAAGATACATTCATGTCATGCAACCATCACCTTTATCCATCTCCATAACTCTTTGTCTTGTAAAACTGAAAGTCTGTACCTATAAAACAGTAACTATTTCTTCTCTCTACTCTATGATCTTATCTTCAAGAAAATCTGAGAAACATTTGACTTTGGAAGGGTGTGGATGTTTTATGCAAGTTATCAGAGGGAAGGAGGAGAGGGAATTGATCCCCAACAGTGGGAATGGGATGGGGCACAAGTGGAGCCTAGATTCTGGGGCAGGCTAAGAAGGGTGAAGAGCAATGGAAAGCAGGCTCCTAAGTTTGGGACATTGTTTCCAGAGAAGAAAGGCATTTGCAGGAGGCCAGCTGACCCTGTGTTCTTCCAGGTGGCTGCATCGATGACACCATCCTCAGCAGACAAGGCTTCATCAACTATGCCAAGCTGCCCAGTCTGGCCCTGTTACAGGGAGAGCTAGTAGGAGGGCTCACCCTCCTTGTGGGCCAGACCCACTCTCTGCTTCAGCACCATCCTGTCCAACTGACTGCCCTATTGGATCAGCACGTCAGACAGCTACACGACGGGGACCCTGTCACATCAGCCAATGTGAAGCCAGACACTCCTGACCCTGTTCCGGACTCCTAACTGGCCTGTTTTACCCAACTCTGCTCATAAATATACTCTGCCCTATTGGCTGTGCTGTCCTCCATTGGATCTGTGGAAGAACTTGGGCTGGGGAGTGGCATGTGTGATTTGGCTCCCACTGACAATGACCTCCTTGGGTACAGGGCCACTTGGAGATGCAGAGGAATTCCATTTCAGAGTGGCAGCTGCTAATCACTGCCCTTGTCCTTAGTTTTCCCAACTTAGAACCCGATAGGAGCAAAGTCCTCCAGGTAGAAGGCAAGGAGGTTGAAAAGACAACGATCTTGCCTGACCTTGTCCACTGTTCCTTGCTATACATGTTTCCCCAGCCCACCCCCATAGAGTTGCAGCCTGCCATAATGGATCAGCTGAGTAATGGCACCTGTTAAAAGAGCCTTCTGTGTGCTAGGCTCTATGCTAAACACTGTACATGTATCGGTTCCTTTATTCCTTATCACGTCTTCCATTTCACAGAGAAGAAAACAAAGGAATAGAGAAGTTCAATGCCTTTACAAAGTCTTGAAGTTAGTAAGTGGCAGAACAAGGACTTGAATCAGGGTCTCTGCTTTGAAGCCCTGAATTTTAACACTAGAACTTCCCCATTAGGTTACGCAGAAGTAGGTCCCAGGTGGCCTTGGATGTTAGTGCTCTGCCCTTGGGGACCACAGTTTTGTGAGAAAATGAAGTGCATTTACTGTTTATAAAGTTATTCTTGAGACTGTCTCTGTCATTTCTTGACCCTCTTCTCTTCCCACAAAATCCTGTTCCTTTGTGCCTCTCCCCACAAATGGCATCTCTTACATACTTGTCCTTTTGAGGTTAGCTGGCATTTGTGCCCAGTTGCTACTGTGTCTTGGATGGGGTAACTAGTATTCTCTGTTAACAAGGGGCTCTGGCCGGCTACAGCAGGAGGCCTTCCCCAAGTTTTGGGGAACCAGCAGTTCCTAACAAAGGAGCAAGGTTGCTTAACTACTAGCTTGCCATTGTCCTTGATTGGAGCATGTCCTGGGTGAATCCAGGGTTGAATTTGGGAAGATGGCTCTTCAGCATTCCTTCTTTGACTTGGAGCAATGCCACAGTGTCCTTAGTCCTGGACAGGCACTATCCTGATGAAGTGCCTGCATGAAGATCTGCAGTATTTTTTCTGTAGCCTGGGCCAGGACCAACTTCCCACAGTGCCCATCTCTGCAGATGCCCAGGGATGCTCAATCACTATGGAATGAATTAAAAGGCCCTTGAGGCTCCAGGATGCCAGAGGTGGTCTGCTCAGGACTACTTAATGGCTCTCTCTGCCTCAGCACTCTTATCCCTCTCCCCTGGGGAGACTAGAGCAGTGATGAGGTTCTGAATGGACCCCGGACAGCAGAAATCCCTGAGAGATGCGTAAGACCCTGGAATGTGACCAATCTTGTGTGGGGACCAGGTGGAGCTGACAAGTGGCCCACATCATTTCTGGGGCAATAGAAGAACCTCACATCACATCCTGCTGGTGATACCTGAAGTTCCACCATTAAAAACCCATTTCTGTCCAGAAAACATTGCATCTAAAGCTGTTAGTCCATTTGAGTGACTTTTTGATCTTTCTCAGGAGCCAGTTTTTAATTAGACTTGAGCATCTGAACACAGTACTCCAGCAGTAGGGTAAAGGTGCCCAGAAAGGCAGGTTAGGGTACACAAGTTGGCTTTCTTTTTTAATAGTCAGCTGGTGACTTCCCCATACCTGCTCCTGACTTTGAGACTCAGTGCTCTGAGGTTTTCCCATTAGCACGGACCTGACTCCAAAGAACAGCCTCTCTGGGACCACAGGCTGTTTCTCTTGCCTTCTTGACTGCCCTGTTGACTGGGCTCTCAGCACTATCTGTTCTGTTCCTGGGCGATGGAGGGGAAAGCTGCATTTGTCCCTTCATGTCAGCCTGATCCCTTTGCTTGGTCCAAATTTTGCAATCTATTTCAGATGTAAAACGAGAGGTGGGGGTTAATAAGGAAATGGCCTTGGGCACTCCCTGGGGTCAAGGCCAAACTAGTCTGAATAAATCCTTTACCACTGCTGGCTGGAGGCCAGCAGATTCCTAAGTCCTCCGATTTGTCTGGAACCATGCCCTGTAGGGACCGTGTTCCCCATTCCCAAACCACTTCAGTGGTTCAGCCCTGAGTCCTCCCGGGAGCAGGGGGGCAGAGCTGAGCGGACGCCCGGAGCTTGGCGGGAGGAGGCGACGGGGGAGGGGCAGGTGGGGAGATCCGGCTAGAGGGGAGGCTCCGACGTCTCCTTCCTTCCTGGTTCCTGCAGCAGCTGCTGCTGCCGCTGCTCGGTTCTGGGAGGAGGTAGCCTGTGACTCGGAGACGGTGACTCAGAGGCAGAGCAGCGCGCGGGCCAAGGAGCATTGGCATCCATGGACCCTGGGGTAAGGGGGCCTCGCTGGCACCAACTGACACTCCTGGGGAGGCCCTCCTCCCGCCTGGAACTGGTAGATCTGCTCCTCCAGAGACTGGGCTGGGAATGGAGGTGGAAAGGGGGCACCCGCCTGGCTCACCTCGATCTCCTCCTTCGTACTGGCGGAGCCTCCCCTGATCCCCCCAAGCAGTGAGGGGCCAGGGTCCCAGGGGCCAGGACAAGGGCAGGGAGACACTCAAACATCCAAAGAGTTTGGGAACTTTCAATGGCTGAATTCAAGAGTTGGGTCAGCCTCTTGCAGCCTGGGTCCCTCTGCCGTGACCTCCCGCCACCCTCAGCCTGCCAACTCCCACATTCCTGTCTTCTCAGGTATTTACTAGCTCCATAGGGAGATCTGAGCTCTTCCCCAGCCTCAAGCCAACCTCCTCCCTCCAGTCCCCTCCCCCGTCTCACACACACACAGTCTCATGCATTATTGATCTCCCAGTAGTGCCAGGATGGCCAGGCCCTTGCCAAGGGCACCTGCTGCGGGACCTGGGTGGACCTCTACACATTCTTGGCCATTTCTTCTCCCACCCACAGTGTTTCCATCAGTCAGTGTCTTGCTGTCTCTGGATGGGTGGTACTTCTCAGGAGCCACGAGGAATGGATTTGTAGAAAGGGGGTAGTGAGGCTTTGGTGGAGAACTGAAGGTCCAAGGTGGGAATCCTGGGACTATGTTTGGTGGGAGGAGGGAAAATAGGGTTGTCTCGGTGTCAGTTGTTTCCCCATGCAGAAAATGGGAGCCCAAAAACTAGAGGATATGGAGTGCAGTTGGTAGAAGTTTGAGGGGTGCCTACCGGGTGACTGTGGCAGAGGAGTCACCAAGCCATGATGGTGGGGACACAGGGGTCCTGGAGGAAGAGGCAGCTTGATTGAGGAACTCTTCTCTGCCCAGTCCCTCTGCTTCTTCTTGGAGCCTCTTCTCACTCTGCCTCACCTCTGACCTCCCAGGGAATCCTCCCAAGAAAACATCAAGTATTTCCTGGAGGCCCAGGGTGTGTGCCCAAGGTAGAGCCAGCCATGCTGGTGTCTCATGGTTTTCTCTGCCATCAGCCTTTCTTCTGTGTGCTAGTTCACCTCCCCGAGCCGTAGCCAGAGTTGGCCAGTCCTTAGTGTCTGAGAGGAAACCTGCTAGTAGGGTCTTATTTTCATGTGGTCTCTCTCTTGCTTCAAGGGCCCCCTCAAGACAAGGTGACATCCCTCCCCTTCCACCCTGCTGTACCCTCCTCAGTAGGGAGTGGCCTCTCCTTCATCCATGGACTTCCAAGAGAGGGACAGCCCCTCACTGGCTGAGAGTGCTCAGTCCTCGAAGCCCAGCAGTGCCCAGCAGGTCTGAGCGGGGAGCAGCAATGGGTGGGCCTAGCTTAGACCCCATGGGGACAGGCATGTGTGGTGGGCTCACCAGTAGCTGCCCTCCCTCTGTTCTGGACTGCAGGCCTCCGAGCTGTGGGAGGTGGTGGAGGAGCCTCGAGGCAGGCTGGGAACAGAGGGCATCATGCCTGAGAGGCAGGAAGGCCACCTGCTCAAGAAGAGGAAGTGGCCTCTGAAGGGCTGGCACAAGGTAGGGTGACAGGGCAAGGGGAGGAGCCACAGGTAGGAGGCTGCTGGGCAGCTCAAGCATTTGAATGTGGAAAAGAAGAAAAGTCTGAGCGTCTGTTTGCTCTCTCCCCACCCTGTCCTCTTGGCTTCGCGGTTCGGTCCCTCCTGGGCAAATCACAGAGGTACTTTGTGCTTGAGGACGGGATTCTCCACTATGCAACGACCCGGCAAGATGTAAGTCCAGGTCCTGGCTCAGGGGTCTGGGAGGAATCTACCTCAGGATGCTCTGAGCAGGCAGGGGGATGCGGAATCAGCCAAAGCAGGGTCCCAGGGTATACCTTTCACTGAGTGTTTGATAGTTGGCCTCCTTATCTGCAGAGTCAACCAACTGCAGGTCAAAAATACGTGTGTGTGTGTGTGTGTGTGTGTGTGTGCGCGCGCACACACTTCAGCCTCCTCCCAGCTAAGTCCAGCAGCATGCTCAGTCGCCTGTAGAGTTGTCATTGTGATGAGGAGGATAATGTGCTTCAGGCATTCTGGATAATGCTCCAGACAAACTAAGTGGCCAAGAACTGGAAACTTTCTGGGCTGGTAGTGTGGCTCAAGTGGTAGAGTGTCTGCCTAGGAAACACAGGCCCTGAATTCAAGTCCCAGAATCACAAAAAAAAAAAAAACCCAAGAAATTGGGTGCTTTCTCACCCTTGTCCTTGTCTTATGGTTGGAACAAGGAGCAAGGCTGGACTTCCAGGTTCCTTACAGTCCAGGTTGCAGGAAACCTGCAGATTCCTTGTTCTGTGACTTGTAGAGCTCAGAATGAGGCTGGATATAATGGAGTGTTCTGTACACAGGAGGTGATTGACAAAGCCCCTCATAGTGTGACTTAGACTTGAGGGTGAATTTCTGCCTGGCCCTTGAGCCTAGAGTGGCCTTAGGAAGATGGGGGTTCTGTGTTCCTGGGAGCCTAAAACCAGCCCAACCCTCCACCCCAGATCACCAAGGGGAAGCTCCATGGCTCCATTGATGTCCGGCTATCAGTCATGTCCATCAACAAAAAGGCTCAGCGCATTGACCTTGACACTGAAGACAACATCTACCATCTCAAGGTGACATCCTGAGAGCCAGGAAGTGTTCTGGTCACCAGCCTGACAGAGGTGCTGGGGCACACAGGCCCAGGGACTGAGGGTCTGTGAGGCTCAGGCTCTTTCTCTGAGTTTGACAAGAAGAAAGTTGTCATCACATAAAATATCTGAGGAGACATACAGCTGAGGGCTCAGATACTTGGGATGTTGTATTCCACCTGCCTGCAAGGGGGCTTTGCACAAACTGGGTACCCTGGCTTGCTTGGGGATCAAAGCCCCAACTTCTTGCTCCTGGAAAGCAGCCCCTCCCTTCAGATATTCCTCCCCTTCTCCATTACCTCTGCAGATCAAATCCCAGGAGCTATTCCAAAGCTGGGTGGCCCAGCTGCGTGCCCACCGCCTAGCTCCACATCTGGACATGCCCAGCACCTCTCATAGGAAGGCAAGATGGGCCCCTTGGTGGGAGCAGGTGACAAGGCAATTCAGGGATGGTGTCTGCAGGGGGCGCTGTGAGACCCAGGTTGATGGGCACCATCATCCTTCTTGACCTTTGGCTCACTCCACAGGTTCCTGGCACCCAGCTTCTAACAGCAGGTAGTGCTTCAGCCCTCCCTGGAGTTGGACCTCGGGAGAAGGTGTCTTCCTGGCTGAGGGATAGTGATGGGCTGGACCGCTGCTCTCACGGTGAGGGTCCTAGCCCATGACCTTCATGGGTAGGGCCCATGCTGTTAGGTCCAGATGACATTAGCAGGAGAGGGGGCCTCAATTTTATAGAAGATGGTAGGGCTTATTCCAGGCATATAAACAAAGAAGATACTCAATGCAAGGAACGGTCCTGAGATGTATGCTCTAGAATCAAGTTTCTGAACAAGAAGACCCACCAAGCGGGAAAGAGACTGAGAACACCTGGCTTGTAGGAAGGCAGCAGAGGTGAGGGGTGGTCTGCAGACAGGTCAGAGGTGGGGCTATGGGCCTCCCATGAAACCAGGGGAAGCCGTGCCAGGGAACTGGAAGTACTCTGGGCTCCTGAGCAGGGGAAAGGGGCAGTGTTGAAGCTGCCAGTGACATCTTTGGAGAAGGAAACAAGCTGAGAGACAGACTGTGGGCCCTGGCCAGTGCTGGGAGAACAGCATCCTTCTTCATTCTCCCCCAGCACTGTCCGAGTGTCAGGGGAAGCTCCAGGAACTACACAGACTCCTCCAGAGCCTGGAGTCCCTGCACCGAATCCCTTCAGCCCCTGTGATCCCCACACACCAGGTAAGGGCCAGGAAGGAGGCAGGAGCTACCCAGAGCCTCCCATCGCTATCACCCCCGGGACAGGACCTCCTTCCTCTTCACATTGCTGTGGTTTCCTGGCTCTCTGCCTCTTCCCACGCCACGCCTCTACCAGAGTTCCACACTGGCTATGCTTGGGTGATCTATGCTGTCCTCTCTGGCTTCTCCCTGGCTTGGCTGGCTGCTACCCCTTCCCCACCTTGTCAGTGAACTTGTTCCCACCTCAACTTGCCAGGCCTCAGTGACAACTGAGAGACCCAAGAAGGGGAAACGGACCAGTCGCATGTGGTGCACACAGAGCTTTGCCAAGGATGACACCATTGGACGGGTGAGGTGGGGTGTGAACCCTAAATTGCAGGGGAAGGGTGCCCTGAAGAAGATTGTCCATTCACTTCCTCTCTTTCACCTACAGGTTGGTCGTCTCCACGGCTCTGTTCCCAACCTGTCTCGCTATCTGGAATCTCGGGACTCTTCAGGCCCCCGCGGGCTGCCACCCCCAGACTATGCTCACCTACAGCGCAGTTTCTGGGCCCTGGCCCAAAAGGGTAAATGCATGCTGGGACGGCAGGGGGTATGGGGGCAGTGACAAGCAGGCAAGGAAGGAATCTGATGGCCTGCCCTGCCCCCAACAGTACACAGCTCCCTCAGCAGCGTCCTGGCCGCTCTCACCACTGAATGGGACCGACTAAGGGAGCTGCACCAGGGTTCAGAGCTGTCAAGGATGGGGGTGAGCCTTGGGGATAAGGTGGCCAGTTAGGGGGAGGGCCTGAGGCTCAGGACTGCAAATCTCGGGTCTGCACCTAGGCTGAGGGAGTGGAAGAGGTGGAAGTGAAGGTGGCAGGTGGGAAGGACTTCACCCTCTGATGTCCTGTCCTGTCACCGTCTGCCTCAGGTCTCTGAGGCCCCAGCTGGGCAGAGGCGCCTCCATTCGCTCTCCATCTCCTCAGACACCACTGCAGACTCCTTCAGTTCCCTCAACCCTGAGGAGGTGAGGAACAGGGCTGGCCTCAGGGGCCCTTTCCCTGGTGCCTTCTTTCCCTGTAGGAGCAAAGGCCTGAATGGTGGAAAGGTTCATTTTCATTCCTGAAACAGAACCCAGATATTCTAGTTCCAGTGTCTCACACAATATCGTAGAGCTGCTCTTATTTTTTTTCCCCAGCACTGGGGATCAAATCCAGGACCTCGTACATGCTAGACAAGTGCTCTGCATCTTGAGCTATGCTCCCAGCCTGTTTTTTATATTTGTTTCTGAGGTAGGGTCTCACTAATTTTGCCCCAGCTGGCTTCAAACTCTGGATCTCCTATCTCTATCTCCCAAATAACTGGGATTATAGATATGCACCTGTAGGCCCAGCCTGCATAGCTGCTCTTGACTGATCCATAACAGCTACTGAAAGCTTTTACTTTTAATTCAGAGGCCTTGAGGTAGTGATTCTTACTTTCCAGATAGCAAAACTGAGGCCCAAAGACTCTTAACTGGTGGGCCCAGGCTCCCAGTATTGTGAACTGGACTCTGAGGTTGTACTCTGTGGGTATGAACCTAACTCCACTGCAAGCCAGATTAGTGACCTGAGCCTCAGTGTCCTAATCTGCAAGGTGGGGTGGTGATTGTACCTGTCCACAGGGTGGGTGTCTGTATTGACTGGATTAATATAGGAAAAGGGTTGGTGCCCAGGAAATGTGAGCAGTTATTATGGAACCATGTCACCTCCTCCCAGGCTGGGATTTGTACCCTACTTGCTCGCTCCCCTCTGTCTTTTCTGCTCACCAGGTGTTAGACCTAGTATAAGACCCCAGTGGTGCTTCCTTCTGGAGGGAACTGTCAGACCGAGGTGGGGGGAGGCCTGCCTGGACTCTACTGTGGCCCCTGGGACTTGATCCCTGTCTGGCTCCCACAGCAAGAAGCTCTGTACATGAAGGGCAGAGAGCTGACCCCCCAGCTGTCCCAGAGCAGTGTCCTGTCCCTTGCTGATTCCCACACAGAGTTCTTTGATGCCTGCGAGGTTCTACTTTCTGCCAGCTCTTCAGAGAATGAGGTAAGGGGTGGGAAGCCAGCAGCAAGGCGGAAGAGATCTTGGGAAGATATAGGTGGATCCAGAGAGACTAGAGTCCTTAGATTCCTGGGTCCTTTCTCCCCACGTTGGTGCTGTCTCTGGGAAAACATCCAGATCTTTGGGCCTGTGTGTTTCTGCTCAGAAATCTCTGCTGAAAACTCTTCTCCCAGTTTTGTTTTTTTCAGTACTAATGTTTGAACTCAGGGCCTACACCTTGAGCCATTCCACCAGCCCTTTTTTTTGTTTGTTTTTTTTTTGAGTTAGGGTCTCGAGAACTATTAGCCTGGGCTGGTTTCAAACCAAGATCCTCCTGATGTCTTCCGCTGTGTAGCTAGGATTACAGGCATGAGCCGCTGGCGCCCGGCTCTTCTCTCAGTTTGATGTGTTTTATCCACCCTGGGTTCTCTGAAATTGCTGCTTCAGGTCCAACTCTAGTTATCTTCCTTCCCATGACCCAGTTTCAGCTTCAGCACTCCCTTGACCCTATCTCCCCAAATCCTACATCTCAGCAGTCCCCAACTTCCCTTTCCTTGGTGTCCTGCAAAGTCCCCAAGTTCTCTCCCACCAGTTCCACACCAGGCCCTCCCCTTCCAAGGCAGCTGGGCATACTCTATAATGCAAGGCCTCCCAGAGCAGTGTCTTATGGCTTAGAGCCCCCACAATACCTTCTCTCCCCCTTCCCACTGAAAGGCTAGCTGGGCAGATTCTTGCCAGGCCCTGGGCACTGCCTAGCTGCCTGGGGGAGGCCCCGTCTGCCCGGCCTGTCATCTGTCCTGGCTCAGGGCTCTGAGGAAGAGGAGTCATGCACCAGTGAAATCACCACCAGCCTGTCTGAGGAGGTGCTGGACCTGAGGGGAGCTGAACACTGTCAGAAAGGTACCAGTTGGGTGTGCGGGTGGCAGGACAAGAGGGATTTGGGGGGATGAAGAAACTGTGTTTGCCTATGACCCAGGCCCCCAGTCCCATGTAGAAGCAGTCCCTGTGGTGATGGGTGGGCTGACAGCTTTGGGTTCTGACCCCAGAGCCATGAGCTGGGGAGCATTCCAGGAGTAGCTTTTGGGGGTGGGCCAGGCTCAGGCCTGGTGCTGGCCTTCATCCCAGTAGATTGGGAAGGCTTGCATAGAGCCTAACAGAAACAGACAGGCAAAAGGTCCCCTCCTTGCTACTTCTTTTTTTTGTTTTTTTCTTTGTGTTACTAGAGTTTAAACTCAGGACCTACACCTTGAGCCACTCCACCAGTCCTTTTTTGTGATGGGTATTTTCGAGATAGGGTCTCAAGAACTGTTTCCCCAGGCTGGCTTAGAACCACGATCCTCCTTATCTCTGCCTTCTGAGTAGCTAGGATTACAGGCATGAGCCACTGGTGCCCTGATTTCCTACCTTTTTTTTTTTAGCAGAGTAGCTTAGGACCTGTCATATTACTTCTTGGAACCTATTTCCTCTTGTATAAAAGGGGTTGAATAATCTGCTTCCTGGCATCGGTTTTGTTTATAAGGGGACAGAGGCAAGGCGGGGTGGGAGGACGACTCAGGCAGAGCTTCTGGAACACTGTGCCTGGCAGGAGAAATGTCATGTCTGGGTGATTGGTAATCCTGCTGTCCACCTCAACCTCCGACAGCTAGATCCTCAGTCACCCTGCCCACAGTGGGTGGAGACCAGGTCCTGGGGATAAAGCGTATTCACACAAACTCTTCTGTAAAGGCTGGGAAGCAGTCCAGTGTGGACTGGCCTGTGGGCCTGCCATATCTGGGACACCAGTGTCCAGGGGAGAGTGACATGGCTGCGTGGATCCCAGGGGGGTGTGTTGCAGGGAGAGCTGCAGGACCCCCTCGCCGCCGCTGCCTGCCAGCTGCCAGTGGGCCAGGGGCTGACGTGAGCCTGTGGAACATTCTTCGTAACAACATCGGCAAAGACCTGTCCAAGGTGTCCATGCCGGTGCAGCTCAACGAGCCACTCAACACGTTGCAGCGACTCTGCGAGGAGCTGGAGTACAGCAGCCTCCTGGACCAGGCCAGCCGCGTAGCTGACCCCTGCGAGCGCATGGTACCTGCCCAAGGCTCCTCTGTAGGGCTCCTGCTTCTCCAGATCCTAGCTGGGTAGATTCCTGCTGCTGAAGTTCCATGTTAAGACCCTAGACTTGGCTTGTGGTGGGCTGGTACTCCCTCCCCCCCTCCGTCCCCTGCCTCGGTGGCACTCTCCCTGCCTTTCTCACAGGTGTACATCGCAGCCTTTGCTGTCTCTGCCTACTCCTCCACGTACCACCGGGCAGGCTGCAAGCCCTTCAACCCCGTCCTGGGGGAGACCTACGAGTGTGAGCGGCCTGACAGGGGTTTCCGCTTCATCAGCGAGCAGGTGTGCGCCCCAGGGAGGGAAGGCTGGTCTCAAGGGCTGGGGCAGGGAGGGCCTGGGCTTTAGGGACCATAGTCTGGGCTAGTGAGGCCAAGGCAGTAGCCCTGGACCAGGAGGGGGTGGCTCTGCTTCAAGGAGCTCCTGGCTCCAGGTGGGTCTAGAAGGGGATCTTGGAAGCAAGAAGGTGTGTGCTAGCGAGCAACCTTGAGCCAGGTCTTAAAGGATAAGTTGGAGAGAGCCAGGAGTACCCTGGGCTGGGGGGATTCAGATGTGCCAGACAGTGTGAAGGAGCAGGTGAAGCAGTTCAGGAAGATTGTGGAGATGGGGCTGGAAAGCATGGCAGGCTAGATCCTGAGGAGCCCTGTAGGTGAGGTGAGGAGCATTCTGGGGTTTTGTTTATTTTTAAATACGAAAGGCAGTGGAGGTGTGGAGGATTGGAAACAGTAAAGTGGCATGCATGGAGTTGCACTTTGTAAAGAACATTCAGTCAACGGTGTGTGACAGTTGGCAGGAGGTTGTTAAAACCAGGCGCCGGTGGTTCATGCCTGTAATCCTAGCTACTCAGGAGGCAGAAATGAGGAGGACCATGGTTCGAAGCCAGCCCAGGCAAATAGTTTGTGAGACCCTATCTCAAAAAAAAATCCCTACACAAAAAAATAGGACTAGTGGAGTGGCTCAAGGTGAAGGCCTTGATTCAAGCCCCAGTACCACAAAAAAAAAAAAAAGTCTCCATAAGAGCTGAGGACCACCTGCACTTAGACAGTGGCACACTGAGTTCAAGAGCTGTGTGTGTGTGTCACCCTTGACAAGACTCAGGGCTCAGCAGAATAGAGAGGAGCATGGAGCAGTGGCCCTGTGCTAAGTAACATGGCACATGCTAGGATGGAGGGCTGAAGCTCCCTGTTCTGTGTGGGAGGCAAATCTGCAACAGGTCTAGAGGGGGCTCCTGGCAGTGTACAGATGGAGAAGTGGTCAGTGAGAGGAAGAAGTCTGGGTGGTCTCATCGTTTACATTTGGGGGATTCATTGGGCATGTGGAGGTGCCAGTTAGCAGGATGGAGAGTGTGTGAGGGAAGAAACTGAGCTGGGAAGACATCTTCCCATGTGGGTTCTGGGGTCAGTGAGCCTGCAGCTGTGCAGAGCTAGCAAACTGAGGAGTCCCCAGCTTAGAGGGTGGACTATGGCATGGACTTCCTGTGAGGCATGTCTGAGCAGAAAGATGAGTGGTCCATGGAGCCTGAGGGGCATCAGTTTCTTCCTGACTGAAGGAGATTTCAGAGACAGGATGGGACAAAGACTGGATTACAGAGGGTGTAGAGTGGAGGTTGAAAAACTAAGTAGAGGGCTGGAGGTGTGGCTCAAGTGGCCTAGCAAGTGTGAGGCCCTGAGTTCAAACCCCAGTGCTGCCAAAAAATAATAAGTAGAGGAAAATGCAGACTGTTACCAAAAAAAATATTACCATGAGGGAAAGAAAGGATGGCTGCTGGAAAGGAGATGAAGGGTTGAGGCAATTTGCTGATTTGTTTAGATTGTAAGCATTTTAGAAAAGGTGGTGAAAACTTTACACAGTACAACAGTGAGTACAATAGAAAATAAGCCTCCCATCCTGCCTGTGGAAGGGACTACTGCCACTAGTGTCCGCCCAGAAATATTGGACTGATGCCAGCAGAGATATGCAAGTCTAGAAAGGGAAGGGAAGACTGGCTGTTTAAGATGGGAGAAACAGGACATCTGTCTATTCAGAGAGAGGAGACACTTAGAGGGAAGGACTAAAGGTATAGAAGAGAGAAGAGGCAGGGGAACAGGAGGGCTGAGGGGCTGTGCAAAAGGGGTGGGTGTGGCCCAGCAGAGGAGCCCAGTCTGGAGGGCTGGATGGGAGCAGGTGGTACCAGTGAGGCCAGAGTGGAAGGGATTGCCTTTGCCTGCTCTCTGTTTTCCCTCTGACTGTGGAGGTGAAGGGGTGTGAAGAGGCTGGCTTGAGTCTAGGCCCTTATAGGATTACTGGAGGATGCCAAGGTCCCAGATGTAGAGAGCCGTGTGGAACCGAAAGCTTCTCTCTGGGGGTCATGTGTTGGGCACGAGGTTGCAGCCAGGGGTGCAGAGGAGGCTGTGCCAGCATTTCTGGCGAGTAGTGGGAGCAGGTTGCTGAGGGTGTTAGGTGAGAGGATGAAAGAGAAGCCAGGGTGGGATTGGCAGACCAGGAGAGAACAGAGCAGTCAGGAGGAACTTGGTCTTTGTCAGAACCAAGAGGATAGGGAACAGGGAGAGAAGTGAAGAAGACAGGCTGTGGAATGTTGAAGGTCACGTATGTGGAGCTATTCCAAGTGAGGACAAGGCCAAGTATTTCCAAGGGTGTGGGGTGGAGCAGGCAGGGTGCGATCAGCTTCCAGCAGAAGAGACAGTGAGAAAAGACGAAGGGCTGGGTTTCAGGGAAGGCACAGGGTGGAGGCCCCACATAGTATGGGTAGGGAGAAACATCTAGGCCTGAGCAGGGACACTCAAGGACACCACAGACAGGGTGGCCAGAGGAGTTCCCAAGGGGAGGAAATAAGAAGGAGGGACAGAGGGCCTCCTGGGGAGAAGAGAGGATATGGATTTGGGTGGTGGCCAAGGATGACAGGGACAAGAGACCTGGAACTAACTGGTCTTCTGGTTCACAAGGAACTGGGGTGTGGTAGGGTAGAGGACTTTGGCCCAATGTCAGGAGCAGACCCCAACCATGCTCCTCAGGGGCAACCTCAAGAGAACTTCTTTGCTCATCAAGGTCTCCCACCACCCTCCCATCTCGGCATGTCATGCAGAGTCAGAGAACTTCGTCTTCTGGCAAGGTGAATGGGTGGGGCTGGGTGGATCTGGGGATAAAGGATACCCAGGTAGTGGCTGGGAAACTCTCTGGCCTTACCTCTGGTGTTCTCTCTCCCTCTTCCAACACAATTTCAGACATGAAGTGGAAGAACAAATTTTGGGGCAAATCCCTGGAGATTGTGCCAGTGGGGACGGTCAATGTCAGCCTGCCCAGGTAAGTACTGTAAACGCCAATAGCCAGGTCAGCCCATGAGTGTCCACCAGGCTGCAGATGGGGCTGGCACTCAGACAGAATAGAGATGGTGTGGCCTGATGCTGACTGGGGGTAGTGTTTGTACATTTTACACCTGCATTTGCAGCAGCTGTAATCAAAAAGGTGCGAAGTCTTAGCTGGAAGGGCTCATTCAGGTTATCTGACTCAGTGACTTTCACAATTTTTTTTTCCTCTTCTTCACAATTTTTTGGCCATGATTCACAGTAAGAAATGCAAACAGAATAATGAAACCCATTACAAATTGTTTGAAAAGTGGGGAGGGAAATAAGAAAGAGTAATAGAGGGGATGAATTTGCTCAATGTACATTATATGCATTATGGAAATATCACAATGAAACCCCTTTATACAGTTAATATACACTAATAAAAAAGAGGGGGGAGAAGAAATGCACTTAAGATTTCAAGCCCACATGTGTACAACACACACACAACGCACACACACCCCCTCATAAACAGATTCATGAGTCACAAATCACATTTGAAAAACCCTCATTTAAATTCATTTTACGTGAGCAACTGAGGCCAGAGGAGAAAGGAGTTTCATTCAGAGCAGCCGGGACCTTCTATATTTTTATGCCTGTTGCTTAGGGACTCAGGAACTTTGTAATGAAATCGGGATGTGTTCATATGTCTACGAAGATGGTTCTGCTTTATAAACACAAGTCCTCCCTCATGGCAGAGCTGGTACCATGACCTGCTCCAGCAAGGCAGGAGCTCTCCCACCCTATTTGTTCCCACCCCCACTGTCCTCCTATGCCCTATCTCTCTTAGGTTTGGGGACCACTTTGAGTGGAACAAGGTGACATCCTGCATTCATAACATCCTTAGTGGCCAACGCTGGATTGAACATTATGGGGAGGTGCTCATCCGAAACACACAGGACAGCTCTTGCCACTGCAAGATCACTTTCTGTAAGGTGGGCATGCTACCCTGACCCCCACCTGCCCTCTCCCAGCAGCCTCTGCATCTAGAGTCACCCTGGGGAAGAGGGAAGGGACCCTGCCTCAGACCTTCTTTACCTCAGGCCAAGTACTGGAGTTCCAACGTCCATGAGGTGCAGGGTGCCGTGCTCAGCAGGAATGGCCGGGTCCTCCACCGACTCGTTGGGAAGTGGCACGAGGGACTGTACCGAGGTCCCCCACCAGGGAGTCAGTGCATCTGGAAGCCCAGTAAGTGGAATGGTCAGGGTGGGCTTGGCAGGACCAGGGCGACTGTGGCACAGTCCACCTGCCCCAGCCCCTTGCCTCCCCGCCAGATCCAATGCCCCCAGACCATGAACGAAACTTCGGCTTCACTCAGTTTGCCTTGGAGCTGAATGAACTGACAGCTGAGCTGAAACGGACGCTGCCTTCCACGGACACACGGCTGCGGCCTGACCAGAGGTCAGTGCCTGGGCCAGAGCCGTGAGCTGCTCCCTCTCCACAGGGCTTCTGTGGACCTACGAGCTGGCACCTCACTCAGGGACATGGGGGCTATTTGGGGGACAGAGCAGGCAGGGAGCAGAGGCCTTGGCTTTTGGGGCCCCTGAGGATAGCAGCCCCACTAACTGGGACCTCAAACATCAGGTACCTGGAGGAGGGGAACATCCAGGCTGCCGAGGCACAGAAGCGAAGGATTGAGCAGCTACAGCGAGACAGGCGAAGAGTAATGGAGGAGAACAACATCGTCCACCAGGCTCGCTTCTTCAGGTGCTTCAGCCCCGACCTCCGCCCTCTTGTCTCTCTGGAACCCAGAACCCATGCTTGGCCCCTTCCATTTTGAGTGGGGTGACCATGGGCAGCACCCAGGGCACAGACTGCATCTCTGCTGTCCCCTGCCCACGCCCACTGGCGCTCTCTTCCCCCAGGCGGCAGACAGACAGCAGCGGCAAGGAGTGGTGGGTGACCAACCACACATACTGGAGGCTGCGGGCTGAGCCCGGCTATGGAAACTTGGATGGGGCTGTGCTCTGGTAGCCCTGGCCCCGGGTCAGGAGGCTCTGGGTCCTCACGCCTCCTGGCCCTACCCCTACCATGGACACATGGGTGAGGCCAGGCTGCCCCTCACTGCCCTTGAGACCAAAGGGGCAGCCCTGGCAGCCCTCTCCCTTCTGCTGGCCAGAGGGGCTACATCTCAGCCCAGCCCACCCCATGGTTGGGGTGAGAAGCAGAATTCATGCTTCCTCAGTCTTGTTGCCCCCAACAACTGGCATGTAAGACCCTTCTCACTCCATCATCCCCTTCCTGTCCCCCTGGGGGTGCTTGGGGGGAGACTCTAGGCTCCCCAGATCCGCTCCCCATTTCAGTGCCTTCCTAGGACACAGGGGACACCCTAATGCTCCCCAGACTTTCTGTGCCCAGGGCGCTGGCCCCACTATGATGTTTGAGTGAGTGAAGGAGAGGAGATGGCCTTTTTTCCCCACCTGCCCCGACTTCAGCATCTTCTCCCTGCTGTGGCCCAGCAGGCCTCTCTCCAGCTTCCTTTGGCTGGTTCCTGGCTAACCCCTCCTCCTGCATTCCTTTCTCCCAGACTGCAAAGCGCCTGCAGCTTATAGCTCCTTTGCCCCTGATCCTCCAGTGGTTCCTTTAGTCTCAGCTCAGCAGATGCCCCAGAGTAGACAAGTCTCTCCAAGAGGCAGGGAGCAAGCTGAGGCGCCTGGCCTCAGGCCCATGGAGGGAGTTAAGCAGGTGTGAGTGTAAATTCGTGTAGGAGAACGTGTGTGTGTGTGTGTGTGTGTGTGTGTGTTCATGGTAAATTCGTGTAGGAGAACGTGTGTGTGTGTGTGTGTGTGTGTGTGTGTGTGTGTGTGTTCGTGGCCCTGTCCTACTTGCAGGCAAGCAGGACTCAATGTAGCCTGGACGTCCCCCTGCTGGATGTCCACCACCGTTGCTGCTCATTTTCTCACAGTTTGCCTGAGTCAGGTGAATTGCTACGACATTCCAAGCTCCAATAAAGACTGTCCCAGACTTTGGCCTGTGATGTTTATTGAAAAGTAATTTTTTTTCAGCTCCACAGAAGACCCATAGCCACTAAAAAAGATATGTTTCTAGCCCCTCATCCCTGGAAACGGCCTTATTTGGAAACGGTCTTTGCAGTTACAGTTTAAGAGAGGTCATAAGGTATTAGGGTAGGCCCTTATACAGTGACTATTGTCCTGATGAAGAAAGTTGGGCACATAGACCTGTGCAGAGGGGAACAGGACACGTAGGAGTGGGCTGCACAAACAAGTGGGCAGACAGGAGTGAGGTATTCCCACACCAGGAACACCAAGGATGCTGACAGCTGGCAGGAGCCAGGAGGCAGCATAGAGAGATCTTGCTCTGAGCCTCCAAGAAGCAACCAGAGCCCTATTGTCACCTTGCTTTCAGACCTCTGGTCTCAGCTGTGAGTGAAATTTCTTCTGTTTTAGGTTGGTTCAGTTTGGTCTTTTTTGTTTTGTTTTTGTTTTTGAGATGGAATCTCACTGTGTAGCCTAGGCTGTCCTCCAAGTCACAATCCTCCTACCTCAGTTTCCCAAGCGGTGGGAATACAGGTGTACATCAACCACTCCTGACTTCAAATTTCTGTTGTTTTAAGTCACCCAATAGTGGAACTTCATTATGGAAGCTAATGTGTCACTTAGGAAGCTAAAGCAGTCACCCACTCACTTGACCTAAAAGCCCAAAAGTCCTTTCCCTACCTAGAGCCTCATCTGTCACTTCTACCTCGTGTCCCTCTGCTCTGACCCTTCTCTTCAGTGCTTCAGCCTGGCTGAGGCTGGGCCCTTCTAACTCTTATCCAGACTACCACAATCATTTCCATCCTAATGCTGGCTTTTGAGATGATATTTCCAAAGAGAAAACATGATGCCTCATTAGTTCTTGAAATGTCTCCATTGCTTCCCAGTGCCTAGAGGCAAAAATCCAAATCTTGAACCTGGCAGAAAACTGTACAGTCCCTGTCTTCCTGCTGGGTATGAAGTGCTGGCCCCACAGTGAGCACCCTCAGCCAAGTCTCTTGACTTTTCTGGAAAAAGAGGGGAGGAAGAACAGCAAGCTGCAGGCCCCTACCACTGAGGCTACCTTCAATGCCAGCTGTTATTCCAAAGCTGTGTGGTTTTGGTCTAGTTGCCTTAGTCTTTAGGCTGTAGATCTCTTATTGGGCTCCTTTGGTGCCTTAAAGGAAGATGTCTATGAAGTAGCATATTTCATTATTCTCTCTCAGCCCCTCATCCCCACCCCATTCCACTGCAACAACAGCCCCCAGCCCCTGCTCTGGTCTGATTGATGTCCCAAGAAGAAGTCACACTTTCTCTCTCTTTTTTTTTTTTTTGGTAGTACCAGGGTTTGAACTCAGGGCCTCATGCTTGCTAGGCAGGTGCTCTACCACTTGAGCTACTCCACTAGCCCTTTTTTTTTGCATTGGATATTTTCAAGATAGGGTCTCCCAAACTATTTGCCTGAGGCTAGCTTTGAACCTTGATCCTCCTGTTCTCTGCCTTCTGAGTAGCTTGGATTACAGGCGTGAGCCACCAGCACCTGGCTCATGCTTTCTCTTGAAGTAGCAAGAACAGGGGACCCTGAGCTATGGCGGTCCCAGAAGAGAAGTGGGGTCCACATTTCCAGTTGCTTGTTTGTTTGTTTGTTTGTTTTTGAGACTGGGCCTTGCTATGTAGCCCAGGCTGGCTTCAAACTCATGATCCTTCTGCCTCACATTTCCAGTTTATTTTTGGAGAGTGTTAAAGTTAAAATGAACACACTTGTGTTGACACCATGTGCCAGAAATAACTTCCATCCATCCCAAAGCCAGCCAAAGCCCATATGCATTCAGGACCTTTTTAAAATAGTGCACACAGCTTCCCCAGCACCTTCCCCTCGGAGCTGTGTGGCTCCTGGCGGACCAGCTTGCCATCAACCTCCACATATTCTAAGAACAGGAGTTTGAAATAGACCAGATCCCAAAGTTATTGTCTCAATGGAGACATGAAACTAGAAAGTCCTCTGCCCATGGGAACTAGGCCCAGTGTGGCTTGTGCCACTTAGACCCATGTCCTCTCTGAGCCCAAGCTGAGGTGCCAGCTCATCAGTTGCCAATTGAGGTGGGGGTGGGAGGTGAGACTGAGTTCACTGTTGCTGAATCCAGCAGGTGACAAGCAGGCCATTCCCTTCTACTGTTTCTTGGGCTGGTGGAGTGGCTCAAGTGCCTAGCCAGCATGAAGCCCTGATTCAAACCCTAGTACCAAAAACAACTATTTCTTTCCTTCCTCCATTTTCTTGCTTTTTTTTGATATAGAATCTTACTATGTATCCCAGACTGGCCTCAAACTTGGAATGCTCCTGCTTCAGCCTCCTAAGTATCAGGATTACAGGCATGCACCACCATGCCCAGTCAAAGGATTATTTAAAATATGTCCCCCATCCAGCCAGGGTTTGGTGGGTCTTGCTGACAGGGGGCTTCAGGACAAACTGAGAGAAGCCAGGAGCTCCATGGAAAAAGTATGAAGGGCTCAAGACAGCTGTAGTAACCAATTTCTGAACACCAGGAAGACCAGGACAGGGCCACTCAAGTCAATGGTCTGAAGAGGAATGGTGAGCCCCATTCTCAAGCCCCTGTCAGCCTAGCCTATAGCACCTGGGGAGTACTGATCACCACTGGCCCTGGGGTAGACCTAGACCACCTGGCCTTGGTTGGAGGACATAGTAGGCCTGGGACAAAAGGGAGAATATGGGCTTAAATGCCCCAAATTTTAACTCACCTTGGAGCAAAGCAGTGTGTCAGGCCAGGCTTCCCTTCTCTGGATGACAAAGAAGGACAGAGGCCCAGCAGCGAAAGGGAAAGGAGGTAAGCACAAGGGGTCACAGTCCTCACCTCACTTATCTTGGTCCTTCCAACTCCACACTGCTCCACCAGAGGTGACATTTTTATCTTTACTTACTTTATTTTTATTTTTGGTGGTACTGGGGTTTGAACTCAGGGCCTCACTCTTGCTAGGGAAATGCTCTACCATTTGGGTCACTCCGCTAGGTCTTTTTTGTGTTGGGTATTTTCAAGATAGTATCTCAAGAACTATTTGCCAGGGGGGTTGGCTTTGAAACATGATCCTCTTGATCTCTGCCTCCTGAGTAGCTGGGATTACAGGGGTGAGACACTGGCACCTGGTTTTCTTCTTATTTTTATTGCTGTACTGGAGTTTGGTTCCAGGGCCTTATGCTTGCTAGGCAGGTGCTGTACCACCCGAGTCACACCCCCAGTCCTAAAATTTTTATTTTTAATTTAGTTGTTGAATAGCTGATGAGGACACCTGAATTGCACAGGACTAAAAAGGTTGAAAATACTTTCATTCTTCAAATTTTCTACATCTAGCTGGGCGCTGTAATCCTAAACTAGTCGGGAGGCTGAGATCAGGAGGATCGAGGTTTGAGGCCAGCCCAGGCAAACAATTTGAGAGACCCTATCTCAGAAACATCTAACACAAAAAAGAGCTTATAGAGTGGTTCAAGTGTGAGGCACTGAGTTCAAACCCTCATACCACTTAAAAAGAAATTCTCTATATCTTCTGAATAAAGGGTGTGTGTGTGTGTGTGTGTGTGTGTGTGTGTGTGTAAATAACACAGGCTGCAGTAGGTGGAGGAGGAGGATCAGGGTGGAAGGAGGTCACCAGCCCAGTGCCTTACCTCCCTGGGGTAGATGTGTGCAGGGCACTCCCACCCTCTCCATTTGAGGAAAAAATAAGGCCATGGGGACACTTGTAGGGGAATCTTTAGCATCTGAGTCACCTGCTGAGGACTGACGTCATCTCTTCTGACCACAGTTCCACTGCTCTGCCCTGAAAGGGCACTGACTCCCTGTTCCAGGCTGGGCTAGAACAGTTCTTGCCCAGGCCCCTTCCATCCCAGACTCCTATGCCTGGCCCTGAGAACTTCTTTAGGCAACAGTCAAAGGGGACTTGCTGTCGGTCCTTTTTAAATATTGCCTTCCTACTGGAAAAGACCCTTTTTCTGTGTGAGAGTGTGGGACTGGAGTTTGAACCCAAAGCTTCATTCTTGCAAAGCAGTCGCTCTACCACTTGAGCCACATCTACAGTCCATTTTGTTCTGGTTATTTTGGAGATGGGGTCTTGTGAACTATTTCCCAAGGCTGGCCTTGAGCCATAATACTGATCTCAGCCTCCCAAGTAGACAGGTTTATAGGCATGAGCCACCAGCACCTGGAAAAGACCCATTTTGTGATTTCCTTTTTTAGAGACCCTCTAGGCAGAAGAGGAAATGACACTTAGCACTCTCCCCTGGAACTCATTACCCTTGGGTTGATAAGGGAGAGCAACACAGACTTCAGAGAGACCTCCTCAAGCTGGGCCCAGCTGGGTCTTGCTCATGAAATGAAATATTCTTAGTACAGATGCTTAATCAGCTCATCAGGCCTCTGGGGTGGCCCAGGGACCTGTCTCCCTGATTTTTACCACACCTTCATCTTCTCTTCATCTGTCCCCTAAGAACCAATACCATCAGAGGGGGATTCTGAGAGCTCTTCAGATCCCCAGTAGGTCAGAGTCAGCTCAGCATGCCTCTGAGGCAAGGTGACCCCAGGGTACCAAGGAGGAAGAGCTTGGCCCTAAGGGTTGGGATATAGAGTGCGTCCATGTCTCATTAGCATGCCATTACTGAGGAAAGTCTTTGAAAGATGATTCCAGACCCTCATGTATATGGGATGGGTGGTTTCACATGGGCAAGTCCAAGCCATTGGCACTCTGCCCCATGGGGCCAGAACCCTGGGCATGCTAGGCCTTGTTGATTCTGTATATGAGAGTCCTGTCAAAGTGGAAGGTGGGTGGGCTGGGCCATGGAAGGGGAGGAGGTAGATGGAAGAAGAGCTTGGAAGGGCCAGGACAGCAGCAGGAAGAACACAAGAAGAGTTAGCGACACAATCCTATTCTAGACAGATGGTACAATTCTCAAAGTCTCCTCAGGAGGGCGCCTGGAC